ATTGACAATTGTCTAAGTGACAACTGCACGTTGAGACAACTTGCAGATGATGGCGTAGTGTCTATGACAGGGCCCAAAGGGGTCAACCTGCAAGGACCCTTACAGGATACCTTAGACAATTTGTCTACTTGGGCTATCCAGCTAGGTATCGAATTCTCCACGGAGAAAACTGAGTTGGTCGTTTTTTCTAGGAAGCATAGCCCAGCACAACCGAAGCTTCAACTTTTGGGTAAGCCGATCACTCATTCCATGTCTTTCAAATATCTTGGGGTCTGGTTCGATTCCAAATGCACCTTGAGATCCCACATTGAGTATCTGAGACGAAAATGCCAACAAAGGATCAATTTTCTCCGAACAATTACCGGAACGTGGTGGGGAGCCCATCCACAAGATCTTCTGACGTTGTACCGGACAACGATTTTATCGGTTTTAGAGTACGGTAGTTTTTGCTTCCAGTCGGCAGCTAAAACGCACATCATCAAGCTGGAACGGATCCAGTATCGTTGTCTTCGTATCGCGTTAGGATGCATGCACTCGACTCATACGATGAGTCTCGAAGTGTTGGCGGGCATGTTGCCACTATCGGATCGGTTTTCGGAATTGTCCCTCAGGCTCCTCACCCGTTGTAAAGTTATGAATCCACTGGTAATCGAAAACTTTGAGAAGCTTCTTGAGCTAAACCCTCAAACTCGTTTTATGTCATTGTACTACGTGTACATAACTCAGGATGTCAGCCCTTCACAGCATAATCCCCATCGTGTATGCTTCTCCGACTTCGGCAATTCAGTTAGTTTTGATTTATCTATGACGCGGGAGATTCGTGGAATCCCAGAACATCATCGTTCCATGATTGTTCCGTCAATTTACGCTGCAAAGTTTGGCCAAGTTGATTCCGCAAGATCGTTCTTCACAGATGGATCACTAATAGAGTCGTCCGCTGGTTTTGGTATTTTTAACGAATTTCATAGCGCCTCTCGAATGCTTCAAGCTCCTTGTTCCGTATATGTTGCTGAACTGGCGGCAATACACTATACGCTAGAAACGATCGCCTCACTCGCACCAGATCACTATTTTATTTTTACGGATAGTCTCAGTTCTGTCGAGGCTATTCGATCCATGAGGCCGGTAAAGCACTCCTCGTATTTTCTCATGAAAATACGAGAGCTTCTGAGTGCTTTATCTATAAGATCTTTTGTCATCACCTTTGCATGGGTCCCATCTCATTGCTCGATTCCGGGCAATGAGAAGGCGGACTCGCTTGCAAAGGTGGGCGCTATGGAAGGCGATATTTACGATCGACAAATCGCCTACAATGAATTTTTCTTCATTTATCGTCAACAGTCGCTCGCCAGCTGGCAAAAGGAGCTGGAGTGAAGGAAGTTTGGGACGATGGCTATTCTCGATCATCCCTAAGGTGTCGAAGAGTCCTTGGTTCAAGGGGTTGGATGTGGGTCGAGACTTCATTCGTCTGATATCTCGCCTCATGTCCAATCACTATTCGTTAAACGCTCACTTGTTTCGTGTTGGGCTGGGAGACAGCAATCTCTGTGAATGTGGACAAGGTTACCAAGACGCCGATCACATCCTTTGGTCTTGTGCTGAGCATCGTGGAGTCAGATCTGAGCTGTGCGATTCCCTTTGGGCTCGAGGTAGACAACCTAATGTTCCAGTTCGGGATATTTTGGCTAGACGTGATCTGGAGTTTATGAAACTCATATATGTTTACTTTAAGAATACTAACCTTAGATTGTAAGTTTGATTAACCTTGTGTTTAGTTTGTGTATTGTGCGTGTAGTTTGTTTTTTAATGTTTGTGTTCAAGATGAATAGAAATAAGTTCATGTTTTAGGATTAATTAAATATTTGTATAATAAATCATATTTCAATCCTCCTTCTCCCTTTCCCCATCCAAAAAATTGTAAATCTCTACTAACCTCGAGACGACCGCGAGTAATCGGTTCAATTCCTTTAACTCTAGATTTAAGACATTAATCATGTATAATGCAAATGATAACTCGGCTCTGTAAAGTTTATTCGATTTGTTTAATAATTTATTTGATAAGGCTCAACCGAATTAACTTTACAGAGCCGAGGATTCTTGGTCACTATACAATATATCTTAAAACTATAGTCAAAAGGTACAACACAATAAACACTTTATCTTCCGCTATCCAAAAAGCCTCCTCCATCAGAACTGGAGCCGCTTCCAGTGGTTTCATTGTATGGCAAATTGTTGTACGCCAACGAGGGTCAGAGCGCGTCCATTGCAGCAATGGACGCAAAACGTGGTCAGCACTCACACACTCATCACGAAACGGTTGCTTTTCAAAGTCGACGACGCATCGACCGAAAGAACTGCTGATGAAGAACAATGAGGAGGACCACACAATGGTTGCTGCCGAGAAAACAGACGATCGCGTAGCACACATTGAGATTGGCCTGCTTTTGTCGACAGCCGAGTGAACACTGAGTTTATTCGATTGAGCCTGTACAAATAAATTAATATAAAAAAAAAAAAAAAAACTCTTGCAAGTCGAACAAAAGCTTCTCGACATACCTTATTCAACTCCTTATTTCGATGTTGTGTGATTGAATAAATTCTCCAGATTTGTGTGAACAAAGCCTGAACAGAAGTTATTATTAAAAAACGTAGTATTATTAAGCATGCAGTTGAATAAAATCGTCAAGAAGTCGTTTCTTCAATAGGTAATTGTTTATTGGGTCATTTCATCTAAGGGGGGGGGGGGGGGGTAGGTGACTGTCAAATACGAACAATCGTCGTCTAGCTCGCATAACTGGTTCCAAACGGCAACGGTTTCTTTCGTTCTCCGTCTGTTGAAATGGGTGAAAGAGTTTGACGTCACACTTTTTCAACAATTTAAACAGTGGTAGAACGAAAGAGAGACAAATTCAGTGAGCCTTACCAATATGATGGATGATCAGTAGGCCGATTTGACAGCATATCCCGGCCCTGATTTCTTCATTTCATTCGTACGTGACAGCGAAGAATTCCAAAACAAACGCAATACTTCTATACTGGGTTGAAGCGCTACTCCTTGCCTAAGAGGAAGAGGTGACAATTGGCTTCTTCCTCTTTTATTTCTATCTCTATATCTATCTTTATCAATCTCTATCTCTATCTTACGCACATGAAATCGGCCAATCAGTAGCTGGTTCACGTTTGACAGAAAAGTGGTTAATTTTCGCCCCCGTATTGTCACCTCTTCTCTTAGCTCCTTGCGTGCGATGGTAAATGATAAAAACAGACACTGATTAGCGTTCCCAATCAACATTGAAATTGTTATCAAGGTTTTAAAGTGTTCTTCAAGATCAAATCATGGTCTACAAGACTATGATAAAACCAAAATTGTACTTGGGTTGTCTCTCTCTCTGCCTCGTCATATGGTGTAGGTGGCTTCAATGATGACTTTCAGCTTGTTTGGGCACATTTCGGAAGGTGTCGTTGGCCTTCGATTTTCGCCATTGTAACTCGGTATGCGTCGCCCCAGGGGTTAGCATCTTGCACTTCCGCTCGCTTGCTCTGGTCCTCTGGATTGCCACAGGAAAATTTTACCTAGCCTATGAGTAACCGTGATTTTAATGAATTAAAGTGAACGCAACTCTAATTTCCAGGAAATTTATTTATACTCGATATTGCCGAAGGGTTGATTATCTTCTTTCAACTGGAACATGAAAATAGTTTCAAAGAAGCTTTAAATAAACCATATACAAAAAGTTTTTAAATGAAAGAAGTTAGTAAAAGACACTTTCGAGTTTTTACGAGTATCTAGCTTGCTCCGCTTGCTGTCTCCTACGCTCATTCTGCCAACAAAAAACACTGGCAGGAAAATAAAGCTTTGTAGCTACGCAGCCAGATACCAATCCCTTGTCAAGAAGGAGGGTTGCAGAAGCCACCACCATTGGTGGTGTCAGCACTGTAGTCTACAGTTTTTATGCTGTATTTATACGTGCTTGAACAACACGTTAGCGTCCAAAAATCATATATGAATAATGATTCATAAAACTTTATTTAAAAAATAATACATTAAATATAAAATTCCTTCTTGTACGCATTTGTTGAACATTTATCATGATTACCTTGTCGCACAACAAATCGAACATTTATGCGAATGAATATTGACTTCAAGCAAAATGTTGGTGGATAACGTTTCTGCCACCGGAGTGTCAGGTACAGGGTGGTATAAAATAAATTGGTGAAAAAAATAAATGGATGGAATTGAGCTTAGAAGACATTTTTAAAAAAGCAGTAAGGAAATATTTCATATCTCGTGAAAGTGGCCATTATGATACTCTTTGTGAAAGAAAGGAACATTTAAACCTTGATATTTCTATTCAATGTGGCTCTAAGATTTAATTTAATTTACTTTAATCACCAAAATTCGACTTAAAGATCCAGGGCTTACCTTTACAAATTTTAAACAGTGCCCTGATACACTTCAGGAGTGAATATGAACAATAAACATAGAACCAAATTAGAACAGAGAGACGAATCCGATAACAGCGCATGAATCCACCTGTGGGTAATTTTCCCCTGCCCACAACAAAATCAACCTAGCACAAGTCATTACTAAGAAAAACAAAAAATCAAGTGTCTTTCTTGAATTCACCGTTGAAGCCACGCTGATTCAACTAGCAATTGTCAGTTCCATTCAACTCCACCTTGCGCCTCACATTTCAATGAAACCAGATAAATCAGCAGCTGCGGTGCACGTTATTCAAATATCTGCAAGGCCCCTCCAAAAGAGAGAGGCCGAGTGCGAAATGCGTCAAGGAATTGTACATTCTGCAGTCAGTCAATGGAGGCAACATAATAATGACGCCATTTGCGATAAGTAATGAAGATGAAACATTAGCCAACCGAACCAGGCAGCGATCGGTGGGCCATCGCGCGTCCATTCACCATTCCATCGTTCGAATGCAATTCATGCCCGCACTGTCAGGTGAAGGGGAGGGAGCTCTGAAATCGAAACACTGAAACGCTTTACGGTGACAAATTTATTTTTTTTTTCTGAACTAACATTACTTACGCGGTACACATCAATAAATTAAACAATTTACTTCCTACCTAGGGGAGCGCCATACGAATCACTTGGGGCACCATAAGATCCACTTGGGGCTTGAGCTTGACCTGGAGCACCGTATTGTCCACTAGGGGCACCCTGTTCTTCGCCACCCTGCCAGAATTCGGCGACCTGCATGCTCTGCTTGGGGTTTTCTAATTCAATTCCGGTCACACGACCTCCCTGGGAGCTGCTACCAGCTGGTGGTCCATACGAACCATATGGACCTCCACTTCCACCACCGTTGGAGGAAGGATATGGGCCCCCGCTGCCACCACCGCCGCCACCAGCACCGTTAGAGGATTCACTTTCGTGCTGCAGCAACAGCATCTTCACCATATCGAGCAACTGAGGATCTACGGATTGGCCTTCCGACGTCTGCTGTCCACTAGAGACCTGTTGGTAGCCACCGCCACCTCCACCGTTTCCGTTACCATTCCGACGATCTGGATATCCACCGGATGCCGGAGGTTCAGCGAATGACACTCCTACGAGCACCAGCACCACGCACTACACAGAACAAAAATAAAACAGAACAAAATATTCAATTGAGCACACTTTCAGTCCTTCCAAAAGTTAGAAAACACTTTTCGATCCTTTTTGACTTCAAACTCACCACAGCACTTAGCCTAAACATTGTATTCACTTTGTTCCTATTCTAGACACCGTTCTAATGCTCTGTTCTGCAAATGTTGCGCTTACCAAAGAACACTACCGAATGCTTAGGCATAACACTTGACCAACGAACTTTATATCAAAGCTGAGAAAATTGTTTCTTGTAAGACCCCGCGGAACACCAGCAGTAGCATCATCGGTGCGTTGCCGTCTCGCCTCGACTTCGCCACCGCCATCGTCGTTGGCGGCGGCGCCTTCGTCTTCGTCTCCGCATTACCATCCGACGAAGATCGGCGGTAAGAACGTACGAGTTTTAATTGTCCAATTGTCGGCTGCGCTTGCTGCACAATGGGTTGAAATCGTGAATGAAAATGTATCATTATTCCGCCGGTGATGTTTTGAGTAAAGGTGTTTGAAAAATGGTTTCTAGTTTTTAGCTTCCGGAATTTACTTGCATTTATCAAGAGAAAATGATTGCATCCAGTCGTCGGAGATTAAATTTCTGTTCGAATATCGGAGCCAATTGATGATGCATTTAAAAAAAATTCTTTGAAGAATAATTAACAAAACCCATGAAAGAATTTTCAGAAAATATCACGATGAATGCCAGAACTAAATATAAGAAGCACCGGAATAATTCCATGAAATTTTGTATGACAAAATCATACAATTTGTAAAGAACTCCATTAAGTAATCTGAGTAAACTATATTAGACATCTTCTTCGTGTTCGTGGATATTAGAAATTCCTTGGTTGGACCAGATATTCCGCGACTTCACTAACTACACTGTTACTTTCCTCAGGAAAGTCTCGCATTTCCTAGCACTCCACTAACCCAGTTTTTATTTATTAGCCACATTGCGGATTGACGACCAATCCTTTATGCTTTCAAGGCCATAAGCACGCTACTAGAAATCATCCGTGAAGAACCAGATTCCATGATGGAGACTCTTTTCGACTTTGAAGTCTACCTGTAGACCGAAGACCCTTCTCACCACTTTACCACTATTCATAGCCTTGGAATCCTCCTTGTAGATCTTCGGATAGCTTCTGAGTCTTGTTGAAACTTTACGCACTAGAATCCTTTCTTAAAGATATTCTATAATGTCCACATAATACGCGAAAAACTGGCGTCCTATCCCAAGTAACAATGTTGATTCTATGTAGACTATGATTTAGACTTGTAGAATGCTTTAAAACCTCGATAAAATTTGCAATGCTACTTGGAATCCTTAACACTGATACGGTAGGAAGTTCCTTGTGGGTCACGATAAGCAGGAGTTTGTGACCTCCTCCTAGAGGAACAGTCATCCTTCGCCTTCAACTGTCCTCTCCATGAACTCCAGTCACCTTCCAATGCAAGTCGTAGCTGCTGAAGAACACGGAAGAAACCTTGAGACCGTTCAACGCCGTGCTGTTCATCATGGTCAACTGTTGATGGATTTGAGATATATAAGGATAATCCTGTTATAATTTTTAGAGACCTCCTAGAAGAGTTCCTAGGGAATTCTGAGGAGAATTTAAAGGAATGTATGGGATAACTGAGGAATTTAGAGGGAATTCCAAAGATAACTTTAGAAAAATAATTAGTAAATACCAGTGTTCGGAAAATCTTTCTCAAATCTCATTCATTGAGCACTCCTGAGAGAATACTGCGAACACAGCCGTTTTTGTTTTGCAAGTCAGCAGGAAACAACTTGAAAATTTTCCGATATCACATTTTTTTTATATCTTTATTAAGGAGACTTTCAGCCGTTGGCTGGCTCGTCTCCGAAAATATCACAAATTGTTTTGCTAATGCACTGCTCACAATTTGCATATACATGCTGTCGAAAGTTCACTCTTTGCTCCATAAATAACGTGTACATGGTGTTGGGAGTGCACCTACCCACATGACTCTTATAAAGTTTGTTTGCATTCTTCCTTCAGCAGTTCGTGCAGGTTCGTTCGTTCGTTACATTGTTTACATCCGAGTATTTGAGCAAGTTTTTTGTTGAAGAATATTAGTAAAAAAATGCCGAAATGACAATATTTTCAACATTGACCACAATACTTTCTCTGCCGACGGGGATTGTATGAGAAAAGTATCACTTTTAGCAGCTCTAGATCGTTGGATTCTTTTTGACAGCACCAGTTGGATTCTTTTTGACAACCATTTCGTGTTTCTCCGCACCACTCAGCTGAGGAGAATTTTACTTCAGGAGAATTCTTAAGGGAATTCGTAGTAACAGCGAACAAAGGACTTTTAAAATAATTGAAGTAGGTTATTATCAACCGGTGGGAACTAACGATTTTAAAATAGCTCCCTACTTGACTAGCCTATTGGTCCCAAGCAAATCGATTAACGTACCCCATTCTAGTCAAAATTCTAGTACTACATTATGTTTGTTTTGATTCGCTATGAAAGTTTGACAGATAAAATGAGGGGTTCGTGGATTTTCATATGTTTCGTCGTCGCTTTGTCGTCGTCGCTTTGTCGTCGTCGCTTTGAAAAAGTTATCGAGATTAGTAGTTGTAAAATTCTTCTTTATTTGTGATTTGTTACGTAGTTTACAATTGCTAATACAAGGCAAGAGGTTAGCCAGAAGGGCTCTTCATCTTTGGTGAAATTTTTGATTTTGTGTTTGTACATGTCGTGTTTTACTGTTGTAATGTTTTACAATTCTCTTATTGTGAAGAATGTTTGATTTAAATGTATTAATTTGTTATTATACCTACTTAACCTAACTTAGCTTAACCTAACCTAACGCACCAGATCCCTGATGATCTGTTGATCGGATCGTCTACAGCAATCTCTGAACCTAGCGATGGAGTCAGCTCTCCGTAATTTCAGTATCTGAAGACCAGCCAGGCGATGGACCTCAGAGTTTCTAGTCCGCGATGGACTATTGACGATCATCCTCAGGATCTTATTCTGGATCCTTTGTAATTTGAGATGGTGGCTTTTTGCGCAACTCTCCCAGATTGGCATCCCAAGGTCGCACAGTAGGTCGCAATGATGGTGATAGGGCTGACAGGAGTGGAGACTTCCACCCCTAAAGCTTCGATGATTTTCAGCTGAAAGCTCGGCAGAAGCCGACAGCAGATGTTTCTCCTTACAGCAATGGCCAGTCCTCCTCCCCCGGAGCTGGTTCGATCAAGTCTTAGTAGCCGAAAGTCAGGAAGATAGACGTTTACCTCCGGTTTCAGGTGGGTTTCAGTGATGACGGCAATGTCGATGTTACGTTCGTTGAGGAAGGAACGAACTCGATGGTCTTGCTCTTGAGCGAGCAAGCGTTCCAGTTGGCGATCTTGATGGCTTCACGGTCCATAATTGTCGATGAAACGTGATGCACCAAGAATCTGCTCGGTTCTGGTTCTGCAAGCGCACTTGATGATGATTGCTTCTGCCATGATGGTTATGAGTTCCTCTGTTGTGAGCAGCTCTTTGTTTTCGTTTGATTGTGGGGCGTCATCTCGACGTTGAGGCAGTTTGAGCATTGGGTGACGTTGCGAGGGCGAGGTTGGTAGCGTTCCCACTTCACCACGGTGTGGAAAAGCGCCCGAATACGCTGCAGGTCCTTCAAACACGTTGTGTTTCGCTCGAGGTGGACCAAATAGAACTGGTCACGGTACTTACGGGAGACGTCGTGCCAATTCATCTTGAAAACTTGCAACGGCTGTAGGCCGTTCTTCTTCAGCTCATCCGACAGCCCGACGATTTCCATGTCGGGTAGACCACGCAGGACCATTTTTCCCGCTTCAGCACCTCTTCGATGGCGTTGTAGTACTTCCTTGCTGGTACCATCAGCATGATGCCTTCAGTGCACATGCGCATGGTGCACTTCAAGCCTTGCTCGATGTAGAATTTGATGCTCTCCTGAAGTCCGGGCGGAAATTCCTTGACGAAGTCCTCGATGGACTATTAACGATCATCCTCAGGATCTTATTCTGGATCCGTTGTAATTTGAGATGGTGGCTTTTTGCGCAACTCTCCCAGATTGGCATCCCGTATTCTATTACGGGAAGGAGCTTATTTTTCAGGGAAAGGGTAGACCTCCTGTTGATGAGTGGATACAATGATCTTATCAAGATGTTGCACTTGGTTTTAGTTTTGTCAACGTGCTCCCTGAAAATAAGCTTGCTGTCTAATGTTAGGCCTAGGTAGACTACCTCTTTCGACCATTCCACCACTGTGCCGTTCAGGCAGATCTTATTATTCACCGACGGAACAAGTCTGGGAGATTTAGAGTGTGGAAATATGATGACCTGGGTCTTTACCGCGTTGATACGGATCTTCAAGCTGTTGAAATATCCAGACAGGACCTCCAGGCCTCTCTGAAGTTTCGCAGTCAGAGCTCCGATGACCCTACCCTTGAAGACGATGGATGTGTCATCTGCGAACAGAGACAACGATCCACCATCAGGGAGAGCCGGCATATCGGAGGTGAACAGGTTGAATAGAATGGGGCCAAGAATGCTTCTTTGTGGAACCCCGGCACCGATGATGAAAGCATCCCATGTGATGGTATTCAGAGAGACTCGGAACATCCTGTCCGATAGATAGTTGTTTATTAGAAGAAGATTGGAAGACCGTACTTCTGCAATTTGAACACCAGGCCATCATGTCAGACATTGTCGAACGCTTTTTCAACGTCCAACAACGGCATGGCAGATGTTTTTGACATAGACTTGTTCCGTCTGAGATTTGTTACTCGAGTCAGCTGGTGGACGGTCGAACGACCTTTCCGAAAACCAAACTGTTCATCGAGTAACAAATTGTTTTCATCTGCAGATGTTAGGAGCCGATGGTATACTGCTCTTTCGAACAGTTTTGATAACCCTGAGAGAAGGCTGATTGGTCGATAACTTGAAGGAGAGGACGGATCCTTCCCAGTTTTCCGGATGGGTATGACTTTAGCTGACTTCCAACACGAGGGGAGGTAGCCAAGTCTGAGGCACAGATTAAAAATCAGTGCCAGATGGTTGTAGAATCTGGAACTCAAGTGTTTAAGTTCCAGATTCAGGATGTTGTCGAAACCTGGGGCCTTCATGTTTTTAGATGATTTGATATAGGCCAACAGTTCGTCATCCGTAATCTCGGATTCCTCGGGTAAAGTGTTGGGAATCTGATGAAGATTGGTTGCATTTTCAGCAAACTCAGCTTTGTGAGGGCTGACGATGTTTTGTCCGAGA